ATAAAAGAGATTTTTCAATTGTGGATACTCGTATTAGCTTATTCAGCAATAACTGATCACAGCTGCCCCTGTACATCCTGATCCAGGTACTTCACCAGGAAGCTGCATTGGTCAACATGCAGATCCGTCTGGTTTCAGACAAAAGCTGAAGAGACAACAGCGGTCAACCTACCCGAACAATGCAGAGAAGACTCTTCGACCTCTGGACTCAATATGAAGACGGCCAAAGGAACTCAAATGAACTTCTGGAGGCTTATCCTTACTTCGTACAACCCATGTAAATTAAACTAATTAAATTTTGATGAAGATAACCATTCACACAAAAAGAAAACCTTCTTTAGGAGCCACAAACTCATAAAAGTCAATGACCAAAAGATGAACGTAACTTCTCCTTTACATTAACTAAGAATGGGGGCTAATTGTCTGGGGCTAATTGTCCAGGGGGCGAGTTGTCTGACATTCGTCCAGAGGAATCACAAAGTAATGGTGAAAGGAGCTCAAACGAACATTGAATCATGCATAGATGACTGGGAAGAACACTCGTATTCATTTTCTTTTAGTACCAAGGTTACATTTGGCTAGCAGCAAGATTATATAAAAATACTTAAAGAGAGGATTGAACAACAATCTCTTCAGAGTAACACTCTAAAGCAAGAAGTGGGACGCCTAAAAAAACAGTTAGATCAAAATGAAAGAAAGAAATTCAGTTTGGAAAACTTTAAAGACGACGACAGTGCCATACAATTATATACAGGCTTCCCAAACTACAAAGCCTTAGTGGCTGTGTATGAATACCTTGACCCGAAAGTGAGTAAATTACAATGCTGAAAGGGAAAGACTATTCCTGATAGTCGTAGCTAGCAGGAAGATCCTCAATCCAAACCTGGACCAAAAAGCAACCTTACTGGCTGACAGGAATTTTTATGGTACTAGTTCGTCTCAAAGTTGGTCTATTCGTCAAAGACCTGTCCGACAGATTTGACATATCTATTGGACACTTTTCAAAGAATTTTACTACTTGGATTAACTTTCTGTGTCTGGAACTGACTGATTTTTCCCTTTCGTTCACAATCCGATGTGTTGAGGAACATGCCATTAGAGTTTTCTCGCTCTCCAAGCACTAGAGTCATTATTGATTGCACAGAAGTGTTTATTGAAGTGCTATCTTTAATGAAGTCTCGTTCAGAAACGTGGTCGAACTATAAGCGCCATAACACTTTCAAAGTGCTTGTAGGTGTGTCTCCCAATGGCCAAGTTATCTTTATTTCCAAACTTTGGGGAGGAAGAGTCTCTGATAAAGTCATCACTCAGCAATCTGGGATTCTTGATTTGTTTGATGTTAGAGACAATATAATGGCAGATAGAGGATTTCATATAAAGGATATTTTACCACCAGGCGTCGATCTGAATTTTCCCCCCTTCAAAGGCACAAGGAAGCAGATGACTGCAAAAGAGGTTCAGGACACAGCCAAGATTGCTTCCGTCAGAATTCATGTCAAAAGAGCAATCGGTAGAATAAAGAACTACCACATACTTGATGGAGTCCTGCCAATCAATCTTGCCTATGCTGCAGAACAGATTTGTACAGTTTGCAGTTACTTGAAAAACTATCTACCACCACTTTTTGAGCCAGGTCACACCGATAACATATAAAAACACTTAATGCCTCATCGCAATGCTTTTTGAACAGTTAAGCCATGGTATACTTTGTGGATGCTGCTTAGAAGTAGGACTATTGATTTTCTCTGCTTAAATTATACTAAGTATTTTATGTATACCACTCTGTTCCTATTTTATGCCAAAGAAACTCAGATACAGTATATATCAAAGGATTGGAAATATAAATAATAGTTTTAATATCCTATCTACTAAGTATACATTGATCATAGTGATAATGAGTGTTCAGACTGAACAGCTGTGAAAAACAATGTTGTTATATGTCTATAAACCATGTTTGTTTCACAGGTTTAATGTGAACACCTAGACTTGATAATTACCATAATCACAAAATATTGAATAGAAATCTTCACTATTGTAATGTATGGGTATAGTTATTAATCATTCACTTGCAAACATAAACATTGAGTGGAGTTATCATTTACCAATCACTGAAAAAATTATTTTTTAAACTGCAATCCTTTGAATAAAACATTTTTACAGTATTAAAATGAGAGAAGAAGATTTTGGGAATTTTTCTTATTTTGAAAATGTTTTCTTACTTTACTGTTGTAAAATATTAGATGGAATATTATTTAAAACATAAATATTTATTGATCAGCCATCCGAACACAAATGTTGCAAAAGTTATATCTATACTAAATAAAAGAACACTTACCAACATTTCATCCAAGGTCTGTTCACAAGCAAGCTACTAGAAATCACTAACTAATCAACAAAAAAATGATTGCATATGACAATTTTTTAGTCTTGACTCTGATTCATTTAATCTAACTAATTATGAGGACCTTAGTCTTTTAGATTGTCCATAATAAGACCAGCTACAATGTCTGTACAGGGGAACTCCTCGTTTCACTCGCCTGGTGAAAACCTCTGGCAAGAAAGCCCTCTTGTAGAAGTACATCAAAGCATGCATTGCTTCCTTTAGCCACCAGTTACGGTCAAATTTAAGTCCTTGGACAGCAACATCATCCTGGCCAAACCACACAAGAAAGTCTACCCATGGAAGATTACAGACATACATTTGTCCTTGGATCTGATATAAATATGCATGCGCTCTTTTTAAAACTGGGTGTCCATCTACAAGTTTGAGATAGAACTAACTATCACTGCAAGCAAGCCTCTGTGACACTCATACCACGCTTGGAGTGAGGACATTTAACTTCAAGTCCTCCTTTTTTTCCATTTGTGGAGGAGAGATCATACACCAGTCTGTCTAAGGTGGCTCCTAGACCTGGTGTTTTCTTGGATATGTATGTACCCACTTCAGTCACTGTAAGCTTGGTATTGCCTGTTGCATGATGAAGAGCAACATAGCAGTCCACAGCATCCTTTTCATGTTGTATCCCATAGTCGAGTGATGGAACAACTTCTTGTTTTTCTTTTATGTACATTGTATCTTTCATAAGGAGGTCTGGTTTTTTCCTTCTAATAATAGCTTTCTTAAAGTTAGAGGCAGTTAGAACGGTTTCTCGTAACTTTTTTCATGCATTGTTCTCATTCTGACCTCTAGTTTCCCTTTCAATTTATTTCATTTCCTCATCAGATATTTCTTGTCCTTTAACACAACAGTCAATAATTTGCTTACATGCTTTGCAATTAATGTTATAGTCATCATTGAATGGAACATCTCAGGAACAAACTTTAGCATGCTCAAGCTCATTTACATCAGTTGCATCATTGGGAATGGACTCATGGACTCGCAGATACTCTCAACTTGAATTGAAAAAGAATCTGATGGCTTACTATTGTGAAAGAGAAAATAGCTGCTCCTTCGTAAAAAGTTAGACAGTTTTTCTCCTATTAATGCCAAAGCTTGAGTGTCTACATCCCTATCTGCTGGGGCACGTGGGTCATAACTTGTGATCTTGGCACTCGATGTTGTGGCTTTGCCATATCTTATTTTCTGAAATACTATCTTTTCAATTGGACTTGGTTCCACTTTCATATTCCTGGGAACATTCCAGCTGCATAACTTTGATGTGCATGATACTGGTTGGTCCTTTTCTCTCAGGCCAGAGCGGTTGAAATCCTCTATGGCAAATATAATTCCTCCAATGTGGTTACATCGGCGCATTCCATTCTCACCTCTCCTAGCAAATATAAAACAGTCCACATTTTAGAATTTTAGATTTAATCCT